CCCGCCCCAAAAAAAATTTAAAAAAAAACTAAAACCAAAAACTTTCCAAAAAGTAAGCTTTTTTTTTTTTTTTTTTTTTTTTTAAATCACATCTTGCCACTTGAGTCCTTATGGAACAAATTGACATCATCTAATGTCATGGCAAATCAGTTGTAAATGTCACTGGTTGGCTTAACATGGTCTAAAAAAAGATTGATGATTTTTACTTTATTACCGGTTAGGGGACCGATACTGAAATGACAACGTCTGATAAGTGTCATGTTTTGCCTTAATTGGGTTTCAGCTTGGCTGGGGTGAAGGGCGTTTTCCCTCCAGTTGGTGCATCCACCCATCCATTTTCCGATCCGCTTACCCTCACAAGGGTTGCGGGGGGTGCTGGAGCCGATCCCAGCCGTCTTCGGGCAGTAGGCGGGGTACACCCTGAACCGGTTGCCAGCCAATCACAGGGCACACAGAGACGAACAACCATCCGTGCTCACACTCACACCGAGGGACAATTTGGAGTGTCCAATCAGCCTGCCATGCATGGTTTTGGAATGTGGGAGGAAACCGGAGTACCCAGAGAAAACCCACGCAGGACCGGGGAGAACATGCAAACTCCACACAGGGAGGCCGGAGCTGGCATTAAACCCGGTACCTCTGCACTATGAGGTCGACGCGCTAACCACTGGCCCACCGGGCCGCCCCAGCAGGTGCACCTGTGACTCATTTCCCCATCAAGCTTGGCTGTGTGTTTAAGGACTCTGACCTGTGCAACCCCTTGTTGGATTCTTGACCTTGCTTGCTGTTGTGCCCCACATGTGATTTTCTCGACCAGTGTTTTTTGAGCCAAGGCACACTTCTTTCATTGAAAAAAATCTCACGGCACACCACTAGCTGAAAATGTGACCCCCCCCACTTTCCTTATTTTAACAATTAACGTGTTATATTGTTACTATAACCGTTTTTAACATTGAAGAATGACGTTATAACAGCTTGAATTGGAATCAAATGAACACAAAGAAAAATGTATTTTATCATCTTTCATATTTATTGTTTCATCGTCGTCCTGCATTCATGCGTCACAAATTTGCTTGTCTCTCATCGAAATACAAGGCAACTAGCTAGCTGTTGCTGCTCCCCAGCGGTATGGGAGGGTACTACATGATTCCTTTCTGGGCGAAAGACCGCACAGGCATCCAAATTGGATATTTTCCCGCGGCACACCTGACAATGTCTCGCGGCACACTGGTGTGCTGCGGCACACGGGTTGAAAAACACTGTTCTAGACCACTCGATACCACTCATAGTCGCTTTCATTTTGCTCATAGATCTTTCTTTGTATTTTTGTTCTTCCAGTATTGCTCTTTGCTTTCATGTAATTGCACTTTCTGATATTTCGTTTGAGTATTCCCTGTCTTCTTTTGAACCTTACCTTTGCAAGCGCTTTTTGCTTTCATGAACTGTTTTTCCTGGCACTTTGTGACCAGCCATTTCAGCTCATACTTTGTTGGTGCAATTTTCTGTAATAAATAGTTTTTGTCATTGCACTTTGTTTGAGCCTGCATCTTTAGAATCCTGAAACATTGTTCGGTTCGGTCAGAACTTAACAATAACATGATCGATTTAACATTCATTATTCAAAAATAAGACCGGTGATACATTGTATATCTCAAATAAGAGTTTATTGTTACACTATAGCAAGATCAAGACAAAAAAATCCACAATGGAAATATTTCATCTTTTCAGCATCATTTCCATACTTTGAAATATAAAAAAAGCATTGATTTATAGTAATGCAAATGTTTTTGATGTGGTGTTAAAATGGGTAGAATTTTTTTTTCTTTCATGCTTGTAGAATTCATAAATATGTAAGTGCTGAATATTTCATGAAAATCATTCGATCTTTGAAAGTTACATCTTGGCCCAATTAACTGAACTAGCAACAGTTCAGAATGCATTTAAAATAGTGAAAGGTGAGTCAAATATGTTTTGGTGTTGGTGGTTTTTAACCCTTCCAGGAACAGCGGTGACCACAGTGATCAGCTTACCATGCTATCAGGTTACAGAGTGCATCAAAGCGTTCAAGTCATTTTTTGAAAAGCAAAACTAAGCATGACTCTTTTGTTTGTCTTGATGCATTTCATTTTGTGGCCAGTGAGTATTTTTTATTAATTAGATTTGCTCTCAAACAGCAGATTTATGGCCTTGACGTTTATCACCTTCATGATCAATTGAGGTTTGAAGGCTTAAGGAAGCCATAAGCTGTTCAGGATGGAGTACAATCCTTAGAGACAAATGCATGATCGGAGTACAGTATACGGTATCTCATATGAATAGAATTAACTTGGTATCTGTGTTTGTGTGTGTGTGTGTGTGTGTGTGTGTGTGTGTGTGTGTGTGTGTGTGTGTGTGTGTGTGTGTGTGTGTGTGTGTTACCTTAGCCAAGCCCACGTAGGGGAAGGTGTCCATGGTCATCACAGTCTCCTCTCCTGTGTGGTTCTGCAGTTGTCCCTTGAGGATACGAGCTGCTGTGTAGGTTGTGATTCCCATACCTAATGTGAACACGCATACATGCAAACTTTATCGTGAGGTCATTTTGGAATGGAAACATATTTGGACTACGACGCTGACAAAAAGAAAAAAAAGGAAGACAATAATAATAATCCATTTCATTTTTATCATTGCATTTTACGTGATTTGAGTTGTTTTTTTTTCTTTTTCAATTTACGTCTAACAATTTAGGAGACATCGTCTCACTGGATGAATTCGCTCAAACTGCAAGTTCAATGAACCAAATGCCTTGCGAAAACGGTGTGCACAACGTAGCTGTCATGGTTAAGATCGTTTTTGGACTTTCGCCCAATTTGCGCACCGCTACCTACCATCTCCGAGGAAAAACAGAATGTTTTTAGCCACGTTGGTGTTGTGCTTCCTGTTCAAAGCTGTTTGCAACGTCTTCTTTGCCTGTGATCTCCAGAACTCTGGGTTCTCCTCTTCAACTGTGTAGTGAGACGAGTGAATCAGATTAGTTTTGGTCACAAATCATATCTCTTTCATTAAAAATACAGACTGAAAGCCATGGTGCTTTGAAGAGAATGCCACAGCGGATGAATCTCAGAATAATGGCTAAGACGAGATAAAGATCAACAAATAAACCAAGTGGATTGCTCCTTGTCCAGGCCTTGCTGACGTGGATGTACAATTCGGGTTGGTCTATCTGACATCACTCTTGTGGCCTCATATCGACTAAACCATCATGCCCAGAGACGGTTTCAGGTACCGCTGTTCACAACAACAATCTACCAGGGTTGCACATGTAACAAAGACATTGCATGAAATGGAATTAATGAGAGAGAATAATTGATAATAATGAGAAGGATGGTGGTAGGGTTAAGGAAAAAGAGAGAAGCTGAGGAACAAAAGCAGAGGATAACAAAATGTGAGGTGGGCGCAATAACAATTTACGGCTTTTAAAAGAAGTCAGACCTCCATCCATCCATCCATTTTCTGATAGATCCTCTTATCCTGACAAGGGTCGCGGGGCGTGCTGAAGCCTATCCTAGCCGTCTTCGGGCAGTCATGCGGGGGACACCCTGAATTGGTTGCCAGCCAATTGCGGGGCACACAGAGACAAACAACCATCCGCGCTCACACTCACTCCCCGGGACAATGTGGAGTGTTCAATCAGCCTGCCATGCATGTTTTTGGAATGTGGGAGGAAACCGGAGTACCCGGAGAAAACCCACGCAGGCACGGATGGGGAGAACATGCAAACTCCCTGCACCTCTGCACTGTGAGGACGATGTGCTGACCAGTCGACGACCAAACCGTCCAGAAGTCAGATCTGAGGCACCAATATAAAATGCTTTGAAACAGACTGAACGTGTTCAGGCTTCTGCAAAGGATAAATACGGGAAGAGAAATCTTGCTAAGAGCGAAAGATATCAAACTGCCATGAAAGATGACAATACAAAGCTTGTTTTCAGAAAATGTATTTACCATGGCATCCAAGTCCTTGTAAAGTGAAAAGAAATGTCTTCTAAATCTGACAGGGATAAGACTGTTGTTAATAATCCTGCCAAATTTGAATGATTTAAAAAAAAAACTCGCCATGTATATAAAATGAGGCTTCTAATATCATTGCAAAAAAATCTAACCATTCTCTCCACTCTCGAATGCTGTGGGCATGTCTGCTCAATGCGCTCAAACAAATTAGTTGTCAACTGTCTGTCAAATACCTCGACGAGAACATGGAAAAATGAGGCCTGCTTCCAAATGGCTCCATATTTAAGCTGTGGAAATATCCACTTCATGTCTTCTGTGACTGCAATTTATGTCACCGGGCTCATTGCAAGGGCTTTTCAATGCTGTGACAATGAAACGCTCTAAAGCGCCCACGCCTTCCCGATGTCCCAGTCCACACGCTAATTGTCAAGAAAGACTTTTTTTTTCTTTTTTTAATTCCTCCCGTCCCACTCTTTTGCCTTTTGCCTGACATGCACATGCTCATGGTTGATAACCAGGCAGAGTTATCATAGTTTTTGATTTTTCATGATGTATAGCGGTAGTTTTGATTTCAGTTTGACTTTTGTTTTTTGAATTCGGTTCATTTGAATTAGTTTTTAGAGCAGTTTTGTTAGTTTGTATTCATTTTTATTTTTTCCAAAAAATGCTTTGTTTATAGTTTAGTTGTTATTAGTTTTAATATTAGTTTTATTTAATATAGGGATCATTTGTCTGATGCAATATTTTATTAAAAAGTAAGCAAGTATTGTGTAATAAATTTTCGTGAACTACAACTCTGAATTTCCTTCTTCTGTACAGGCATACAACAATACTGAAAGAAATACATTCAGAATAAACCCTGAACGCGCATGTAAAATATTAATTGAAAAAGACAAAAATAAAGGGCATTTACCCATAATGGTGAGTTTTATAACTGTGAGATGTCGTTGCAATTGCTTTTTTCGTTATTTATTTGGTCATTGACATTGTTTTTGTTTTATTTATTTGATGAGGTTTTTTTTGAAACGATAATAACCTTGCAACAAGGTGCTTGAAAGCTGCCTCAACAGTGTAACACCTCATTTCACACACTGACAGTCAATTCATTCCCCGGCATAGTTCTCGGTCTTTTCCCATATTTTCAGCAGTTATCTTCAACCATGTATAATATATTTAGAAACAAATATCTAAATTCACTTTGAATTGACCTTCGCTGCCACTGTCACTTTGTATGACTTGCTCTGCATGTGCATGAATAAAAGCAGTTGAAAAAAACCAAAAAAAACAACAACAAAAAAACAATGGTGAAGTCGGAAACCATTTGCAAAGAGTGAATGTTTTGAGCACATAAGATAACTAAAACATTTGCTGCCTGTATGATGATTTCTCTTTTGGATAGATTGAAAGCTTGAAGATTTTATCTTGAGTGTCTTTTAAGGGAAGAAAGTTTTCAAAGTCTTACCTTTGGCTGTAGTTGTTCCAAAGACTACAAGCAGGAAAAGAGCCAACATGGACACTTTTGAAGGTTCCATGGCTTTACTGTGGCTGAAGGATTGATCGTCTAAGCTTCTCCAAGATGCCCTCAGGGTACAACTATCGCTTATGGCGTCCCATCACTTGTGATGTCATTTTTAACAGCATGTCATAAATGACCCTTGGGCCTCTCATTCATTTATGACACAAGAGTGCAGTAGTTGTGTTGTCTTGGGAGTGGACAACAAGTGATTAACTTTTCATAGCAAGCTGACTTTTTATTAACTTATTGACAAAAGTTCAAATATTAACAATGGCAATATTTTTATTTTATAAGAATCAGTGTGTGCATATGTTTGTTCACCTTGTGTGTGTGTATGTGTGTGTGTGTGTGTGTGTGTGTGTGTGTGTGTGTGTGTGTGTGTGTGTGTGTGTGTGTGTGTGTGTGTGTGTGTGCGTGTGACATGCATCTGTACTGCTATCAGTTAAGTATTGACTGATAACACAGCCTATGATTATGTAAGTGACAGAAAGTCCATTTACTCTTACAAACTACATATGCCCGCACACTACAGCATAATGATATCTAATACAAGAGCAGCATAAAAAAGTGATGAGGGGAAATGCATGCACTCCCTGAATCACTTGTCCGCCCGAAACTAAATTTTGCCAATGATGCTAATGCTCATTATATTGAATTTTCAGTCATGCAGAACAGCCCTGCCTTATAATTACAAGATACACAAGATTAGATCAGCTCTCAATATGCAATATTGCTATAGAATGCAGGGCGGCCCGGTGGCCAGTGGTTAGCGCGAAGACCTCACAGCGCAGAGGTTGTGGGTTCAATCCCGGCTCAGGCCTCCCTGTGTGGAGTTTGCATGTTCTCCCCGGGCCTGCGTGGGTTTTCTCCGGGTACTCTGGTTTCCTTCCACATTCCAAAAACATGCATGGCAGGCTGATTGAACACTCAAAAAAATTGTCCTGAGGTGTGAGTGTGAGCACGGATGGTTGTTTGTCGCCCTGTGATTTGCTGGCAACCGGTCCAGGGTGTCCCCCGCCTACTGCCCAAAGACACTTGGGATAGGCTCCAGCACCCCCCGTGTCCGTTGTGAGGATAAAGCGGATTGGAAATGGATGGGCTGTAGAATGCTGCGAACTACATCCATCCATCCATTTTCTAAACCGCTTATCCTCACAAGGGTCGCGGGCATGTTGGAGCCTATCGCAGCCAACTTTAGGCTGTAGGCGGGGGGGGGACTGGTTGGCGACCAATTGCAGGGCAAACGTAGACGAACAACCATCCGGGCTCACACTCAGACCTCAGGACAAATGTCAACAGCTTGCATGGCAGGCTCATTGAACACTCTAAATTGTCCCTAGGTGTGAGTGTGAACGTGGATGGTTGTTCGTCTGTGTGTGCCCTGCGATTGGCTGGCAACTG